AAGGAACAGGTCGTTGTTGTGATTTATTTGCTAAAGCATTTCGTCTTTACAATGAATATCGACAAAAACTTGAACTTACCGATGATACAACACAGTAAATATTGACTCACTTTCTTCAAATATTTGCCCTCTAAGTCACAGAGCCTGAGAATTGTTTTTTTTTGCTTGTCTGTATTTTAGTTTGGATCCGAGTACTGTATTACGACGTTATGATGAATTAAAAAGTAAACTTCGTGAAGAACTTAAACATGAACTTCGTGGTATTAGTGGTGCAAATGATTCAGCACATGCTCATACTACTAAAGCACCACGTCTAAGTACAGCAACAACTACAAAAGATCATAGGCCTGCTGCAGTCGATACAACTGATTATTTTGAATTAGTTTATGAATGTATTGATACACGTACGAATTTTCTAAATATTGTTAGTCTTACTTCACGAAGTCCAGTTGAACCTGATATTGATTTAGCTATATTACAAGCATTATTAAATGGTAAAAATACAGATTTTTATTATTTTTAATTACATATTTCTTTTTAGCTACATCAGCTCATGATTCAAGTAAAACAAATAATCAACGAAAACGTGAACAATTTCATTTAGCATTAGAATGGAATCGTGTTGATATTGCAAAAAATTATATTATGAATAATGAACGAGATTGGGAAGTAAGAAAACGTTTTTGAAATAGTATAGATATATCTATGTAAATTATATTATTTTTTGAAATTAGAAAATTAATTTAAATGATATGTTTGAATTAGCATTGAGTCGTAATCAAACAGAATTTGTTAAATTATTTCTTGATCATGATTTTTCATTAACTGATGTTTTTCGTAATAATGGTAAACTCCCACTACTTTATACGAATACAATGGACGAGGTAAATCAGTATATTTAATTATTAACCGAATTATTATTTATTTTATATAGCATTATTTTACTTCTACTTCTGTTGATTCATTACAAACAATCTATGAAGAAATAATTCAACCATTAATAGGCGATTTTTTCGAAGTCGAAGCTGTTTTACATCCAAAGCGACATGTTTCACTTAGTCGAGCGAATTCTCAAAATGAAAAAGAAGCATGTTCATGTTTTACAGCACCACGATCGGATCGAGCTGTTTATGTGGAACCAATTGTTGATAATCCAGAAGGTATGTCATTCAAAGAGTGTAGAAATATGATAGAATTTAGAGCAATAATAACGCTAGATTAGATCGTAAATTGATTAGTCTTTAAGTTCAAACTCTAACTGATCTTTTTTGCTGACAGAGATCAATAATTTATATATTTTTATTTTATTGTGAAGCATCAACATCGTCGTCGTCGTCGTCCGGGATTCATATGGATATTGATAGAGAACTTTTTCTTTGGTCTGTGATAACTGGTAGACGTGAATTCAATCTATTATTTTGGGCTCGTGGAAAAAATAAAATTTGTAAATAAGATTATGATTCTATTATATATACAAAGATATATTTTCTTAGGTGCTGCTTTAATTGCTACATTAATATATCGAAAACGTGCTCGTAAAACAAATGATAATAGTTATCATCAAACAGCTGATGAATTTGAAAGTTTAGCTGTACAAATACTTGATAGATTTTATCAAACAAATACTCGTGCTTGTACAAAAGCTATTATTCGAAAAATACCAGCTTATGGTAATGTAACATGGTTAGAATTAGCTATAACAGCTGAAGCTAAACAATTTATTGCACAACGTGCTGTACAAGATGTACTTAATAATATATGGTATATTTAGTTTGAAATTTTTAATCAAAAGTCTGATGATATTTTAATTTAGGTTTGGATATATTGATCAACGAGAAACTCATAATTCAATTATCTTTTCATCAATTATGATATGGTATAGTGGTACTCTTCGTTATCATGATGAATTAGTTAAAACAAATGAACAAACATCATATCTTAATGTATATCTTAACTTTGTATTAATTTTGTTTTTTTTCTATTTAATATTTAGGATACATCTCGGAAAACAAATTTATTACAGAAACATCAAACAAAACACGGAAAACCTTTAACAGAAAGGTATTCAAAAGATTTGATTTTTAGATAATTTCTTTTAGTATAATGTATAACTGATTACATTAATTTTCTTTTTCTAGGACATCAGATAGTATTAATATGAGATTAATGCATGGTGTTAACGAGATCGACGATATTCCTGTTACATTCGTTGATGTTGGCTCTTATGAAAAGTAAACAAATCTAATTTTTAGATACAAACTTCTAACACTGATTGCTTAAACTAATGCTTAAAATTTTAATTACTAGTCAACGTAAGATTATAGAAAATAATTTCAAAGAATAATTTTTGTAATCTTATTCTAGAACTAGAACTCACATATTACGATATTTTGGAAATATTCTAAGATTTATACGTGCACCAATTGTTAAATATTTATATAGTTTAGTAAGTATTCAACTCAATTACGTATGATATGAATATAAGATTCGTATTATTTTCTAGTATTTTCATGTGGCCTTTTTATTACTTTTCTCCTATGTGATATTGTGCGATTTTTATCCTCTCTACGAATTTAAATCGGATATTTGTGCACCAGCTAATCAACTCGAAAGATTAAAAAATATGAATGTTAATGAATCGACTACAAATCAACAATCAGTATCAAGTGAACTTCAAAAACGTAATCGACCATCTGTTACAGAAATAATACTTGCTGGTTGGATTTTTACACTATTATGTGAAGAAATTCGACAAGTAATATAAATATTCATTTGAATTTCTTCTCTTGTTATGTATATATTTCTTTCGTAGTTCTTTTCATTGGAAGCACGAACAATTCGTAATGCTATTACAGCCTATTTTGAAGTCTTTTGGAATAGATTAGATATGTTGGCTATAGTACTTTTTTTTATTGGTTTTACGCTTCGATTTATTCCAACAACAGAATGTTTTTGTGCAGCTCGTATTGTTTTATCAGTTGATTTAACGCTTTGGTTCATACGTTCATTAGACTTTTTTGCAGCTGTTAAACGACTTGGTCCAAAACTTGTTATGATTGGAGAAATGGTATAGAATTAATATCTTATCTTTCTTACCAATTCTATTTTTTCTAAGGCACACGATCTGAAATTTTTTATGTTAATGTTAACTGTATTCATTTTGGGTTTTGGTGTATCATCTTATAGTCTTATATATGGTGCACAAGAGTTTACTTGGCATCTACCTCGTGATATTATAAATCTTGCTTATTGGCAAATATTCGGAGAACTAAATGCATTAGATACTTTTGAACGTAAGAAACATACTATTTTTTTGAATTCATACATACTTTTTGGTTTCTTTTAGATAATTACAGTCCAAATGGTTATGCAGTATTTATTTTACTTGTTATTTATATGGCCATTGTCAGTATACTATTGGTTAATTTACTTATTGCAATGTTTAGGTATTGAATTTGTTAATTATTCATGCTGATGCTATTGATAATTAAAAATAATCTTTCTTTGTTGAGTATAGTAATACTTTTGATCGACTTCAAAATGATACGGATCGAATTTGGAAATTTCAACGATATTCATTAATATGTGAATATTTATCTCGACCATCCTTACCACCACCATTTATTATATTTTGTCATCTATGGCGATTTATATTATATGCTGTATCACCTTGTCTTAAATCATCATGGCTTAAAGCTACATATGCTCAACATACGAATCGAACTAAATATAGTAAAATAAGAATTCATTTTTATTTTTGTTAGTTTCCGATGATTTCTTTTTTATAGAAGTTCTTCTTGATGAAAAATCTGCAAGTAATATTGAAATAGCTGAAGATGCACTTGGTGATGAAGTTTATTATAATTATTCGAAAGTTGGTAGAAAATTAGTTGATGATAACGATCTTGATGAAGAACGAATGTGAGAAATATAATTATTATTAAATCGATATCAATATTATTATGATTTTTTTGTATATTTAGACAATCTCCACAAGAAAATATAGTAAATAAACTTCGAGTACTTGAAAATCGAACACATCTTTTAACTACTCAAGTAAAATTTTTCTTTGTTTTATTTTGTTTCTAAAATTTTATATAAGAATACATGTATTATAGCAAGCTCAAATGTTTGAATATCTTGAATGTTTAATGGAAGGTTTAAGATCATTAGGTGGTGAACGTATTCGAATGCCAGAACGACGTCGTTTCGATTTTGATGATTCATGTATGTTTAGAATTTCGTTCATTGGAGATTAAATAAGATCTTTATCTATTTCATATAGTTGACGAACTAACTACTGCTAGTGATCAAGCAAGACGATATTTTCGACGAGATTCAGTTATAGATGATGTTCGTCGTCAATCAACTGCTAGTCCTGAAGAAGTACAAACACCAATAATAAATTTTTTTTCATCACGTCGAAAGTAATTTCATAAGCCAAAAAAATATTTTTAGTTTTTCTTTTATATTTGTATATTATTTTTTATTATTAGTGAATAATGAAAAGGTAAATTATGCATAATCATAATTGTGCATGAGTTAATTAAATTCTATGTTTATTAATATAAACTTTTCGTTTACAGGAGTGTTTATGAATATTTACACGAGTAATAAACTATTTATTAAAAATCAAGAATTGTTTTAGAAATTAACATAATATTAGCTTACATCTATTAATACCTATTGTTTTTCATATATACTCATTGATTACTTTAATAAAAATACCTAGCAGTTTCTCTTATACAAATAATTTTTATTATGTTATTTTAACTAATATCAAACTTTTATTTTTCTATAATGAATAAATACTATGTTGTAAGATTCTCTAAGTATTATAAAATACAAACGATTAGCAATTAGGAGTTTTACGTAATTTGGCAGGATGGGAATGAATAGATGTATATGTGGCTATCTTTCAATCAACACTCAAATCACAGATTGATGGAACTGAAAAATGATGTATAAGTATGTGTTGAGAAAGTGTTATAGGCGGGTGTCTGCTCGGCGAGTGCAAGTCTTGCGGGCAAATGTCCTAGATTCGAATATATACTATGAATTAATTTCATTGTCTAATGTTTTGTAACACAAGTTTTATTTTATTTTCTACGACTAAGTCATGATTTATTTTAATAATTACTTCGAACCATTCAAAAATAACTTACAATTTAATGTATGATTATATTAATAATTTGATAAAAAAATTAATTTAAATTGTACTGTCACACATAGTGAAGAGATTGATTGTTCACAAATAAATTGCATTCTCTTTTTTGCTTTAACCTAAGCAGAAAAATTTAATTACATATAAAAATGAAAATTGCGTGACAATATCGTCACATGCCAATGACCCATGTAAAAAAAATATGATAGAAAAATCAACGGATTCATGATTATAATTGATTTCACCTACAAATAATTGATGAAAATCGAAAGTTTATGATTTTTTGTGATTAATTTTGTGATTTTAATCGGTTTTTTAGCAAATTTGATTTTTAATCGTTGGGTTTTCATCGATTATCATTGATGCTGCTTATCAAAATCGGATGAAATCAATTTAATACCATGATAATCGCTTATCTAAGATTTTTTCTCAATCAATTAAAATCAGCTTTTCGAAAAAATCAATTTTCATCGTTACTTGATGATGTTTTCCTCAGTTAAAATCAATTAAAACTCCATTTAATCAGCAGGCACCGATTATTAGTTTAATCGATTATCATCATTTACTAAGAAATCGTCTATAATTTAGTAATATTGATTATAATCTATAAGAATCAATTAATTTTGTTAATCGATTATCACCATTTACCAAGACATCGTTTATAATTCAGTGATATTGACTATAGTCTAACAAAACCATGTACGCTACCAAGGCAGTCATATTTACTTATGAAGTAAGATAGCCAAAAGCTTTAATTAATCAATTTTATTGTTCTTTTCACTTTTCCAGTAGTTTATTCTCAAGTTGGGTGTGGAAGAGAGTGTAGTTGTGAGGGTAGGTGAAGGTGTGGGTGCGCGTATCTTTTGTTTTAGCTCCAACGCACACCCACACCCTCAAGATATATTTCTCTTCTTCTCTTTCCTTCATTTTAAGGCATCTTCCACATATTTCTCTTCCCTTGTTATAGTTTACTTTTTTTTTCTTTTCGTATGTTTTATTTTAAGATGTTAGTGGTTTTTTTCCATTTCATTCAGACATATATGGGTCCCGTCCAAAATAAGAATTAAGATTCAATATTCATCAGTTCGATGAATCTCACTCTGACGGATATAACTTCTTCTCCTGGAAAAACAAAACTAAAAACCTATGAGATTGATCTTGCTACCTTTGGATACACAAGCCAAAGATTCATATGGTTACATCGCGAAATATTAAACTATTTATTAGTACATCAGTCTCTGACTCAAGTATTCATCACGTGGCATTTTCAGTTTCATCTCCATCTTCCTCTTTATTTATAGATGACGTTACTGTGACTCTCGTTCCGTTGAACATACAGTCACGTCTAATTCAAACTCAAATAGAGAAAAATAAAATTGATATCACTCTTTCAAGTTAGCTCTTCCCTGTAAAGTCTTCGGCTAAATCAATTCCGAATGGTATCAGTGCTTCGGACAATGAACCCCTGATATGCTCTCTATTGTGGAGGTGCCTAACGAACTATCAAATTCGTAGTCGTCAGTTCCAGTGGTATCAAAACCGCCTCGGATTAGATTACCATTGTCAAGTGGGACTCCTAATCGTTTGAGTTGTTTTTATTTACTTTTTTTATCTAAAGTATTATCAACTAAAGCTACTTTACCTCTTTCAAATCTTTACATTATCTTTGAAGTAACAAAAAATATATTAGCTCTACTCCTAATCGAACACCAGAAAACTGATGGGCTGAGCTTCACGTAGCACAAAATCCTGGCTCCGCCGTTAACCCTTACCCATATTCACCCCACCACACCCACCCAACCGCCCACATCCACACTCACACTGTACTCATTAGAAAAACTTTTGCTTTATTTTTTAATTTTAGATCAATGTCAACATATAAACCAAATGGTAAGCATTTATTCATTTGAAAACTTTTGTTTTATTTTATTATTAGGTTATTATTATCGACAATCAATCAGTAAGTATCGTTCAAAATATATGGAATGTCAAGCGTGATCGGAAATTCCAATTAGGTATGTGACAAGTTAGGCTCAACAGCTCGCATGAGCTGAATCGAAGAGCTGGGTCTTCAGTTCAAGCTCATTTTATTCATATATTAATCATTATATTACATACAAACGTGAGTAATATCCAACTATTCACGTGTAACGATTATTTTTGACGACGAAGTCATTAATATAAGCTTAAAGTAATTCTTTCCAAACGTTTGCATGTAATATAATGATTAACATATGAATAAAATGAGCTGGTCACAAGCTCCAGCTCAAATGAAAAAGAACTGTTCAGACAGTTCCAACCCATTGAGCGGAACTGGAGTTGTCACATACCTAATTCCAATTACTTTCTTCCCAGAGAGTTACGTTTCTATGATATATCATAAAATAATGAAGTTCTGATGTATCATAGAAGTGAACTTGAAGGAAAAAAACGGATTGATTTTAGGTGATTAAATCGAATTTTGATCGACTTTTTATTGATTAAAAATCGATTTAAATTATACACCTTTAATCGATTTTGCACCGAATATGGAGTGATTACAAAGGAAATATAATCAGAATTTTTTGATTATAATCGATTTTCATGATTTTAATCATTTTTTAATCGAAAAAAATTGATTAAAGGTGTATGATTTAAATCGATTCTTAATCAATATTTAACCGATTATAATCTGATTTTTCCCCTATTTTTTTACATGGGTAATTATCTCTATACTGCTGAGCTTTATTAATCGACATAGACAAAAATGACATTTTCTTTTCTGAATTGAATCATAAATTTTTTTTATATGCAACAAAATTATTTAATCATTCACATTTCTTAATAAATTATCATTCACCAAATAATATATGAGTTGCAATAACATTTCGAACTCATATTGTATGGCTGCTGTTGAAAAGGAGTCATGATTGATAAATAACAGATCATTATTTGTACAACTGAATGGATATAAATACAGATGTGAAGAATATTAACCATTCTTTGTTACTAACTACATGTCTTTGAATGAGAACAAATTCACATGTGATGATAACATATGATTAATCGTTCTCAAATTAATACCAAAAATGAATAACTGAATAATATGTTTAAACAAATCAATTTTTTACAACTACATCCTTTTTTGTCAAATAGTTTAATCAGCTTAATTGTTGTATTTTATAAAAATGATATATTTTATGTTCTTATTTTGCGCATAATTTTAGAAAACGGATGGTACTCTCGATATAGAATAAACCAAATGTCCATGTCAAAGAAACAAGTCATATTCTGGAAGAACTATTACTTATTGGTGACTAAACGAATGAGAATTTATTTTAGTCAATAATATATATCTAAAAAAATTGATATTATAAGTGACAAAAGAAAAAGACAACAAACACAAAAATAATCTACAGGAAGAAGAATGAAAAAAGTGTCTGGTTAAATCGATGAAATCTTTTAGTTTGTCGATAATTGATAGAAAGACATACCACGTTATTCCCGATGTTCATTATAAAAAGTATCTCTGTTTTACAACGTTTCACTGCCAAGTCATATTTTGAAAAATATACTAATGAAAAGAAAAGAAAAGATAATAAAAACATTTTCATGCTTATTAGAAAGACCTTGAATAATTCTCTTGAAAGAATATGTTGAAAACATGACAAGATGAGCAAAATTTATCGTTTTCTCCGATCATCTTCTCTAATTTGAATTTCTCTCAAATGAATGATCTAATAATTCTTCTTTGAATTCTTATCTGTATTGATAATAAATATTAAAATAATCTTGGGTGAGGGTATGTACATGTGGCTATTGTACTCTTCTTTTATCCTCAATAATATCCACACACACACTCCCAGGCTACTCTTCTCGGCAAAGTACTACTTATATACAGGTTTATTTTGAAATTATAAGTATTCATATTCTTGTTTTTATTAAAAGCAACAAAATTCTATTATTGAACTACTGTGAGAAGTCTTCAATGAAATAAATAATTATAACTGTAACTATTAAATCAATTAATTTGAGCAAAAATAAACATCTTATGTATTTCATATTTTCTGATAAGAAACTGATCCTATTCTATTTAAAAAAATATCCATTGTTCTAATATAATATTACTAAATTTAAATTTTTCCTTGTAATAAATTTCTAATCATTTCACGTCCAGAAATACGAATAGTATGATAAAATGTCTTAAAATCTAAAGTCGATGTTAATGTATCAGCTAAACCAAATGGCATCATTGGTGGTATCCATCCACGTGCATATTCAAGTGCCC